ATATTTACAGGGATGGGAGGAATGAGTGAGGCCATGACTCACCAGTTTTTGAGGCTGTCTCTGGCCTCGAGCTGAGCTCCCACCTCAAAAGATATCCCTCTTCTGTTAGGGGGCGTCTTACTCATACTGCCCACATCAAGGCTCCCTTCCTGTACACACACACACACACACACACACACACACATTAATCTAACACACCAATCAAAACTACACCCATGTGGGTACACTACTGAGAGACACATTGTTCCTAGCCAAGAACACAATACAACGGACTAGCAAGGACTTTTACAGACTATCTTGCAGTCAGCCTTGGTTTTCTAAGGTCATCACTAACCATTATTTACCAGAAGGCTTTAGCAAATCACAGCTTTGCACTCCAGACTATATCTTTTGGTGTTAAAAGGGCAATTGCGGCACTCCCACAGCAGAAAAATAATGCAGTCAAGGCTGGGAAAAGATATTACCGGTGTAATAATACAGATTACACATGTTGTGATTCCAGTGTAAAGCAAGGGGAATCTGACATTGTACGGTGAGCCATGTACCTCAAATGATGATGAAATGTGCAACTAATACCAGATGTTCAGTGATCAGCAGGGTTGTCTATACTCACACAGGTACAAATGATGATCTTTAGCAAAAATGAGCAGCATTAAAGCAATCAATATGTTATTTAACTCCCTCTCAAGGAGGAAGAACAAGAAGGAACAAGATCTACGATGACATGTTCATAGCTTTCACTTCCTACTCAATCTGTAGAGTAAACAGGCTATCATGCACCAAAAATACTCGACTAATGTACATTATAATAGTCTTAAATGGGGTATTTGTCCATGCAGTCTCATCAAATCCAGACCCATAGCCTGCTGCAGCCTCTCGGTGGAGGAGGATCATTTTTGCATAGAAAATGTCAATTCCCTCCCTACAACAGGGCGTCCTTTGTCAGGCATGCAAAGGACAGATCGGCACCTATCGTTAAAAAGCCAAAAGATTTACATTAAACACAATAACGTCTTACTTTTGTCCAGGCTACAGCCCTCTCGTTTCACCATAGCGGAGGCAGTCCGTGCTGCGAGTGCGACGCACAAACCGGATATCTTCACACTACTCAGCCCACGTGTTTTCTGGTCAACCGATTTTCCCGTACGGACACAATGGAGAAGACAATGGAGAAGAGCCTTGGTGGCTAATCGCCAGCAGATACGGACACCCAGCACGGTATCAACGAGCAAACCATATCCCAGTCAGTAATATGCAAAGTGTAGGATGAAAAGTGTGCATTTTATGGCCTGCACAAAGAGCCAGACAGACGACAGCGACACAGGCGGGACACACACCGAGAGTTGGTGATGCCCGAGTCAGGAAACGGTTGATCAACACCAATTTAAAGTGTTACATAAAGCATATTTTTGGCGAATTAAGCGTAAATTGAGAATTTAATCTGATAAACACCCTTTTATTTTTTCACATCTCTCAACCATAGACTGTTTCGAAATGGTCGTCTTGTTATTTTAGCAGAAAATACGAGGGCGTGTTGTTTGTAGCTCATAGCAATATTCTACCGTTGTCCACTTTGACACTTTATTGTCCAGTATTTTATAACCAGTGGGCGTAGCGAGAGAGAGAAAACGTCACCTACGCAAGAGCTTTTCGTGAAAACGATTGGTCTGAAGGCTCTCAAGTGGGCGGGATACTAGCATCTGATTGGCCAAGCAGCTGTCACTCACATATCTGTTCTGGGCCTCGCGCGCTAGGCCTTTACTTTGTCATACTTTTGGTGCTGGGAACGAGCGGCGTGGAAAAGGAAAGCATGAAACTTCCACAACTAGAGAACAACGTAGCCATTTAAAGGCACCCAATGAAAATGCATATGCCGAACAAGAGCCACACCAATAATGACACGAACAGAACAACGAATTGTACTAAAATACACGTTTTAAAACCTACTTCGTCACGTTTGTTTTGAACTCAAAAAGCCGACATGCGGCACCATCCGACGCTGACGCATCCAGCAAACCCTCCTCACTATCGATGTAATAAACGATTATAATCTCTTGAGACGAGGGAGAGACACACTCTGGGCTTCCTACCTGTTCTCCAGTCACTCTTTGTCCGGTTGGGGGAAAAATATGCACCGTAATCCCTGAAGGAGTGCAGGTACCGCTGCCTCCGCCTGTCTGCTCCAGATCACGCAGTTGAATTTCTCCCAGTTGCATTCACCGCGGGCAGTGTGGCGCTGCACTGCGCATGCGCCTACAGAGACCCAGGCCCCAAGTGTTCCGATAACATCATTCATCAGCTAACATTGAGTCGCTCATAATATTTAATGATGATGTTCATAAACATGTCAAAAGCACTTTTATTTGGACCTAAATGTACGAATAACATGGTGTGGTACCGACCAATATGTCACATTAGTATAGCTTGCTACTTTCCATATATGAATACACTATCCAGTAAGTCATGGAAGGACTTAATGTTTATGTATGTTCATAAACATGTCAACAATTGTTAATAAAAACACTTTTAAAGGGGCCTACCTACAGAACCAACAAGCGTTTAGGACATAGCATTACTAATATTATCAGCGCTTACAAATAAACAAATGGAGGCCATTATTATACCTTGCTACTTTTCATAAATGAATACACTTTGATCCAGTAAGTCAGGAAGGACCTGAGCATGCCATTGTTCACACAATAGACCTGTTGTTTTTTATAGGAGTTTATTTAGGGTGACCAAGCTATATAATACTCACTACATTGGTGGGTGGGTTTTAGTGTGTCCGCCTTTTTTAGGATGGCATGCCCTTAAGTGATCTATCTACCTATTTATTAATCTATTTTACTGCTTGTACAAGTGTTTTTATGGATATTTCTACTCTGTTTTAATAAACTAGTGAGGACATTTTTTGTGTCACTGTACCGTTGTTAAGAAAGGCTCATAATACATATAACTAAAGCACTGTGAAAACATCATATAAACACAATAAAGGTGCCCAAGTAAGGCTGATGTTGTTGCTGTTACAGTGATTTGAAAATAAAAGCTGCTATGTTCACGACCTCTGTCACTGAATGTGCTTTTTGAAAGAGGCTGCCATTTGTTTATTTTGTTTTTTACTCAATTTGTTCCAGGATAGAGGTCCTTTTACTCTGCTGTCATGGTTACCCCTCTTCACCGGGGGCAGACAGGTACATCATGGTGTCAGGAGCAGTGACCAGTGATGTGCATAAAAGGGCAAACAGTTGAATATGTACAGATTGGAGGAGTCAGGGTCATGCTGTGTGACAGGATGGGGAGTGTGTGTTTGATAAACCCTCTCACCCTTACAGTCACTAACAGATACTAGGAATAACACTTTCATAACTCTGGACAAATAGACCTAAAAGCCTTCTAGATGTGTGTTTCCAAAGCTGACACGATACCAAACTATGGTTCTACTGAACAGATCAGCCAAATAGACCCCTATTTCCTCTGTGATTGAGTAACACAGTTAACCATTTTGAAAACCTTTCTGAGAAATGCAAAGATTAACTGCCTCCTTTTCAAGGGATAGTTAGTCAGCACTGCTAAAAACAAACAATAACATTGTTATATTTAAAATACAGACCAGGCAGAACCGATACAAATAATTTTCTTTTTCAATTAACCCATTAGAAACTCTATACTTATACATTTGAGGCATTAATTGGATAATTAATAGATACATAATTGAGATGTTATATTTAAAGGCATCTTTTGTTGATTATATGCATGATTTTAATGTTTTTGTCTTTGTTTCCCCCCCTTACTTTGGTGTTCGCGGTCAAATTTGACCGGTCCTGTTTTAACTGCTATTATTAACACAAAAAACATTAATCATCACCAAATTTCATTTAACACCCTTTCAAACTGTAAATATTGTATCAGACTACTGGTATACATGAACAACTGCAGTAAATATACAAACAATAGACCCTGAACATGTATTGTGTGTGCCAGGTGTGATCCATGTGGGGGGATGGGCACATAAGAGCGGGAAATGTGTCAAATTGGTGTGTGTGTGTGTGTGTGTGTGTGTGTGTGTGTGTGTGTGTGTGTGTGTGTGTGTGTGTGTGTGTGTGTGTGTGTGTGTGTGTTTTTTTTTTTTTTTTCACATGGAGGGATTGGGCACATAAGGGGGGGGGGGGGACACATTTAGAGTATGTGTGTGTGTGGGTGTTTGTGTGTACCAGGTGTGATTCACATGGGGGGATTGAGCACATAAGGGGGGGAACACATCTAGAGTATGTGTTTGTGTGTTTTATCTGATCCGGATGGTTACTAATTCCTTTTCTTTATGGCGGTCATTTTTGACCGGGAACACCATGGGTGTTACAAAGTTGACTAAATCATCCAAAATTCAATGAAAGTGGTGATCAGCAATTGTATATGTTCAAATGTCTACTGTGAAGGATATCATAAAGCCTTAATGCAATCGAATGTCAAACAAAAAAGTTATGATTGATGAAAGTAGTAAATCGGTCAGATTTTACCCGAAGACAACAGGAGGGACCATGCACAGCATTCATAAATTATATATATTTGTATTTCAACTATTGAGCTTTTCACCAAATGAAAAGTTAAGGTCCTTTTATAGGTCCAAATGTAGTCATTCACCTAATCTTATTTTGTGAATTTAAAGAGATTTAACTCCTTTATTGCTTATTTAATTAATTTAAATCCCTAAATTATATAATAATCTATTAGTTTAGACCTTTATTAAGATCACATTTCAGGTGTAAATACCCACACACTGTTAACATATCATTAAATGTCACCTGAAACATATAAATAACAAAATACCGCAATTCAGCATTCATTATTTACAAAAGGCAAATGTTCTCTTAGTCTCATTTTAAGAGAAGGATGGTGAGGTCGCAGCTTCCTGCCCGGGGTCTTTGTCTCCTCTCCCCTCATTTCCTGTCTCCCCTCTGCAAACCCCTCTCAAAATAAAGTCAAACACACCAACACAAACAATGTACAATTTTAACAAACCTTTATTTATGGACAGCCATTCCATATTATAACATATGCAAACACACATATACACACACGCACATGGAAAGTGGTTTGAGTCAGTCCTATGTTCAAAAGGCAGGCGGTTACAGCAGAGAAATGAACAGTTAATTACAAAAAAAACACTTTTTATTGCGTTTTTAACGGCAATATTTTTACATCACCCTTAACCTGGATCATTAGATTACACTTAGGGAGAGTTAATACTATTTACACGCATTATTTATTTACATCGCAAAGCCTGAGAGGGGACACGGAAAGCTCAATCTACATTCTCATAGAACGAGACAGGGTTTGTGATCGGTTAAATGTTCAGTCTGTGAGGTCAACACCCGTTTTTATCATAAGACCTGAGCCAAAACACGTACAGAGCACAAACAAAAGAGAACACGCTTCCAATTGAGAGATTTACCAACCTCTCACATCGCTATGATAAACTGTAATCCCAACACTGGTGTCTGGCTTCACTTTAGAGTTGTAAAATCAATGCACATTTATTTTCCTTAGAAATCTCCACCAACTATTAGAAAGAGCTTTGAAAGAAAGTCTCTTTATAGTTTCTTATTCTTGTTAAACGAGGAGCTTTCAATACAACTACTCAAAACAAAGCTTATTAATCAGACACCATTGCCAGAGTTCTTTTACTTTTCTTATATTTAAACATTTTCTGTACATGATGAAAGAAGGCTGTGTCTTTCGTTCACTCTGACAATCACACACACACACTTGAATGAGTCCACAATTTCTTTAGATTCGCTTTGCAAGTGAATACTGTAAGAGTCTACACAGTTTTACTACCCATAAGAAG